CAAGTATTTTACATATTATCTACACTGTCCATTTTCAAGATTTTCATATGTTTATAGATCTACTTAATTTTAAGCATTTTTGAAATTTAAAATTTTATCATTAGATATAAAATTAGATTTTGAGATAATCCTAATAACATTTTACATCAAAATTATGTACCATGATAAAATTTGAAGGTGCACCTTACCTCTACACCTACGGATGCATCCGTATGCCAACTGCACCCATAAATTAAATACCTACTACTATCACAGAAATCACCTCCATATTTTTTCCTATGCATTAACCTATTTTTTGAGATTTTTCCCTATGAATTAACCGCATCAAGGTGATGCACCCGCATTTGGACTGCATTGAGTCCGCATCCCGCATTTTAAAACACTAATTTTCATCATAAGTCTCTTCAATGGAGAATGGGCGTGGCCAGCAACTATTCTTGGGCTGCTACACCCCGCTATCCATACAACTCGTCCCTATCTATGGCTGGCAACACTGATGGCAACCACTTGGATACTTTGGCTAGAGCATAACTCCAGAACTCTCGAGGGCAAGGAAAGTCAGATTGTGACATTGGAAGACAAGGTTCTAGCCTGGGTCACCTTTTAGACTAGAAATAGCAATGAATCTTTTGGCAGATCAGCCTCGAAGTTCAGCCAAAACTGGGGTCACATACCTAAAAACGACCTATGACAAACCCTATATCCGACCAGTGGTAACTGCCACCCCAACCCACCAGTTTGCGGGACCATCAAGCTAATTTTGATGGTGCTCCCTTGGGGATCGGTGCCAGGCAGGTGTTCATGGGTCTTTTCATCTCACGGGTCTAAACAGTTTCTATCCTTTTCGGGCTCCATTAGCATGGCAGATTCAACCATGGCCTAGACCAGGTCGGTGCTGGAAGGCCCAAGGTTGTATGACTGCAATGCCCCCAAAGTTGAAGGTGATTCCATTAAAGTAATCAGGCGGGTATAAAAAGAGTCCCCTTGCCACCGATTCCTGGAACAAATTTTCGACCAAGTATTCGAGACTTCCATCATCATCCAAATTACATTCCTGCATGTTCTGGTGTACATGATACTACTTCAAGCATGTTTCAGTACACCAGAATTTCATACATAAAAATGTCACTTCCCCAAAAACAGATTCATCATACTACTTCACTAGAGGTGTTTCAATATACTAAAAAGCACAAGCACATTGCTGCCTAAAGTTCATGAATCTATTAACACAATCAATTTTTCCCAATGGAAATGACAGGAGCCAATATTCATCACAAATAACAAAATGAAACCACAAAGTGGTAATCATTTGCCATGTCCGAAGTACTTTTTCTTTTATTCTCAAGTATGTTGAACACGCAACAGAGGATAATAGAATAATATCAAACCACTCTTCTATGATGTTGGAACCAATGGAATAGTAATAAAATAATATGAAACCACTCTTCTATGATGTTGGAACCACTGAAATAGTAATAAAATAATATGAAACCACTCTTCTATGATGTTGGAACCACTGATTCCACACATTATTGACATGCTACAGTTTATGAAGATTTCAGTGCTTAGCGTTAGGACAATTTCGGTATTCGAAACTACATAGCATGGTCAAATATGCCAAACCCTCTCATTTAGAAACAATTTATTGATAACGATCAAAATATTAAAAAATTATCATGCAGAACATATCTATACAAGTGCAGCATACCTCGCCATGGATGATAAAAGATCCCTGTTGTTACTAGAATGTAAGATTACACACAGTAAGTTATAAGCAGAGAATTCCATATGGCACCCCTTGATTCCTTCAGCATACAGGCTTTTCAACTGTGATTGGCACTGCAAAAACCAGAATAATCAGAGGCACATAATAAAGAAATAAAATGAAAGTCTCATAATACTGACATATTAATCCATTCCCTTCATCACATAACGTTATAGGAGGGAACTGAGATCCAAGACAATTACATGAACTAAATTTTCTCTTTATTGAATTATAGCAAGCAAAGAGGAGATCCATAAACAGCCTTAAGCTTGTTTTCCCATTTTAGGTAGCACGAACACTGAAATGTCCGGGCCAAATCATACTTGGTACAGATGCTGTTAGTCCTAATTGGGTCCTAAAGTTTGTGTCAATCATCATCATCTCGTTCAAAAAAATTAGGTTCTCTTTTCACATCTGATTCATGATTAAAGAAATTGTAAACCAACATGGTCCTATTAGGCCAACCATGAGCTCAGAATTATCGCCTATCTGAATTTATAGTTAGTCCCTTCACAACTGAATAACAATGAGAACCATAGAAAAATATATGGGAACATCATAACGCAGGATATCATCATCATAATTTAAGCCTTATCCCAACTATTTGGGGTCGGCTACATGCATCCTGCTCCACCATTCTGCTCTATCAACGGCATAACCGCAGTAAGACGATAAGTTACCATATCGTTTCTTACTACTTTCATCCAAGTCCTTTTGGACCTTTCCCTTGCTCTTTAAGAGCCTTCTGCTTAAACCAAATTGCACCTCCTAACTGTTGTTGTATTAGGCCTACGCTGCACATGGCTAGCCCAGCTAAGTCTGCTTTCCCTCATCTTATCGCCTATTGAAGCCACACCTAAATTCCCTCGAATGTAATCAATATGAATTCTATCCTTTCATGTATTGCCACTCATCCATCTCAACTGCAATCATCCTTTGGGCATGTTGTTATTTGAAAGCTACACTCACCCTCATCTCAATACAATACAAGAAATGCGTTAGTTTTTTCCAGTGAACCCATTCATCACTTTAGTGCTGTGAAAAACATTCAAATATAAGAAAATACATGATATAAAACTCTGCAAGTGCCACCTCTGTCACCGAAACACCAGAATTTATTATTGCTTTAACTCAAAGAGGCATCCCTAACAAGCTTGAACATGTAATATTGATGGAATTAGGCTTTTTATTTTGTTATTTTATTGACTTTTTGGGAGATTAAAATTTAGGATTGGAGTTATTTTGGGTTTCTACTTTTCTTTTAGGGTATTTGTATCTCTTTCTATTGTAGAGAATTGAGGGGTAGAATTGGAAGTTTAGGGCCAGTTTGGATGCACCCAAAATTGCAATATTTTTGGATTGCAATCCAAAAATCTTGTGAAATAGATTTCACCCGTTTAGACAACCACCTAAAATTGCAATATTTTTAGATTGAAATAAAAAATCCTACAACTTCAAGGCAAAAGTTACAATAAAAAAATTTCAAGTTGGACTTGAATTTTTTCAGATGGGCCATCTCTCACCAGTTCATGAACAACAGAAACGCCCAAAACCCAAACCCCATCTCTCTCCTTTCTCTCTCTAAACTTGAGTCACCAAAAACCAAAAACCAATCACCTCAAATCCCAGCTCTGTAAAAACCATCTGTCTTTTGCTCCAAGCTTCAACACCGAAAGAACCGAAAACCCCAAATCCCATCTCTATAAAAAAAACCATCCATCTTGGTTGTAAAAAACCCCAAATCCCATCTCTATAAAAAACCATCAATCTCTGTAAACCCAAATCCCATCTCTGTAAAAAAACTATTCAATTGTAAAACCCCAAATCCCATATCTGTAAAAAACCATCAATCTCTGTAAAAAACCCCAAATCCCATCTCTGTAAAAAACCATCAATCTCTGTAAAAAACCCCAAGTCCCTGAATCGGCGTACCTTTTCTTTTGATTCTAAGCCTGACCTTAGTTGCAGAAATGGAAGAAAATAGATGAGGAAGAAGAGTTGCAGAAATGGAAGAAAATGGCTGAGGAAGAAGCATTGTATGGCCCGAAATGGAAGAAAATGGATGAAGAAGAAGAGTTGCAGAAACTAGGGTCTGGGCTTTGGCCATGGTGCCATTTTCTCTCTCTCGACGTCAGTTGCAACTCATTTCCACTCCACCACCATGCTTGGCTGCCTGCATAGCGACAACACCAGCTTCGAGTGAGGCAACCATTTTCTCTCTCTCTCAAATGGAGTTGGTAGGACTTGTATGAGGAGAGAGCGTATGTTAACAACACCAGCATCGAGTGAGGCAACCATTTTCTCTCTCTCAAATGGAGCTGGTAGGACTTGTATGAGGAGAGAGCGTATGTTATTGTGAGAGGAATGCAAATATGCCTCCCGCCCAACCCCTGCTTCAGCGCCCTGTCCCTCCACGAAACTCATTTTAATATGTTCACACCAACCAAACAGTCCAACAAATTAATAAAAAAAAGGCGATAATATTTATTACTACGGTTGAAAAAAATTACAATTTTTTTCAATGTGAAGGTTTTTTTATTTGACATCCAAACTGGCCCTTAATTCTTGAAAGATGAAGGACTAGGATCTAGTATTGATTAGGATTCTTAGGGAGCAAATTAGGTTTGGGTTTTTTATTTATAAATATGTAACTATTGTGCAAAAGAGAAGAGAAGAGTTCATTTTGGGTCTTGTGAAAAGATCTTTTCAGGATGAATTGACCTTGAGAGGGTATAATCTCTCATCTTTATTTTTATTTCTAATTTTTCATTTATTTATTTTCCTTCTCCCTATCCTCCCTGCATCAATAGGTATCAGAGCCTTGAGATATATATACCATTACGCTATCACAAACATCTACCACTCCAGTTATCCCGCATGTGGATAAAATGATTGAGAGATTAAAAAAAGACCTGATTTACAACAAGTTCTACATAATCTACTCAGCAGACTGCAGCATGGGGAACAAGAATATGAAGAGGTTAGTGCGAAAGATGTCGCCAACAACCTTGAAGTGCTACAAATTTTGACAATCAATTATGAAGAAGAAGATATACTAGTTGCAACATGTTAAATACAACCATTTGAGCTTGAAGAAATCAAGATTTTGCATGACATCCTCGAGTTCTACAAGAAGTTATACAGCAAGTGCTAGATTAATTGGTTCATTGACAGATAAAGTACCTAGGCAAATCGCAAGACTTCATCACCACCTATTCAAATGGCCTTTGATAGATGCGATGAACACAACAAACTCAAGGTTGAGCTTTTCCCAATCCTAGGAGAATGATGCAATTAAGCTTTTTATTTTTTTATTTTATTAATATTTTGGAAGATTAAAATTTAAGACTATGGTTATTTTGGGTTTCTAGTTTCTTTTTAGGGTATTTGCATCTTTTTCTATTGTAGAGAATTGAGGGATAGAATTGGAAGTTCTATTCTTAAAAGATAAAGGGCTAGGATTTAGTATTGATTAAGGTATTTTAGGAAGCAAGTTAAGCTTAGGGTTTTAATTTTATGAATATGTAACTATTGGACAAAAGAGAAGAGAAGAAGATTTAATTTTGGTATTGTGAAAAGATCTTTTTTGGGGGTGGACTGCTTTGCACATCCTCTGAGAGAGTATAATCTTATACCCTTTATTTTTACTTTTAATTTTCTGATTTATTTTTTTTTTTCTCCCTATCTTCCCAGCATCAACTATAGCCATGGCCAAGGACTTGGGACAAGGAGCTCAATTTTCAAAATACCAAAATGAGGTATGACCAAGTTTACCGAAACACACTTGATAGAATTTAGCACTTCTTAGAGTTGATATCTATCTATGGCAAACATAGAAAGCTCTCTCCTATGGATCACGAGGAGTCCCCATAGTTCTACCTAAAACTAGTTATCAGCCATAAGGCCACTGCCACCAGCTTCCATATTAGCCTAAACAGCAAAAGCATAGAATGTAACAGTCGTTAAGTTAAGCGTAATGAGTCTAAATAGCTTACCTCCGGCACCTGGTTTATAAATCAGTAAAAATTCCAAAGCTCAGGTAAAGTTCTTTTGAGGACTATTTCACCAATTTTTTAATGTGAATTAAAAAAAAAAGGGGGAAACGAAAATGTGTGTGTTTGTACAATGTGTGTGTGTTATGTCTGTGTTTGTGTATATATACATATATATATGTGTGTGTGTGTGTGTGTGTATTTATGTATGTGTCTATATGTGTGTGTGTTTGTACAATGTGGTTTTTTTTTCTTTTCTTTTTTTAATTCTTTCTGCCTGAAAAATCGAGACCCTAGCCTATGCAAGCACGTGGATCTTCTAGGCAAGGGAAGCCCCACTTTGAACTACCACATGATTTTAATAACATCATACACACTTAAACCTGCACATGCTATACATGTAACATTCCTAGGTGCTCCAAAACCTTTAGCAGTTCCATACCTGTGTTTCTTAGAGCATATGTATGCTCCTCATGAGCTCCAAATCAAGCCTAAATAGTAATTGCAATAAGCTATGAACAAATTTGCAATATAAAATCAGTTTAACCCTAACAATAATCTAATTTCAGTATATCTAATGATTACACTAGTAGACCATTATGTGTGTGTGTGTATAGACACATGCACGCACGCAGGCAAGCTTGCACAAGCATGCATACCCACACACACGTGTGCGTATGCACACGCACATGTGAGCGCACGCATGCACACACCCACACATGAAGCGTATGGTTTCTCTACAAACAAACAATTTAGAATTACATCAATGCATAAAACAAAAAAGGAATCAACAAGGAAGAACCTATCTAGAGGGCACATAAACTTTCAGCCACATAAAGCAGGATACATTGGTAGCAAAAAGAATTAAAATATTGAAGAATTCAGTTCTTCAACATGGTTTGCGAAGAATAAAGAACAAAATCGTCCGCCAATACATCAAACCTAATCTCCAATAACGTGAAATTAATGTAATGCCTCACTAGGACATACATTTCCAGGTACAGTAGAGTCAAATAGAAGAGAAAATGGTTGAACAACCTTGAGGTAATTTTGTATGTTTCAGTATAAGTGACTTATTTAGAAGAATAAGAAGGCTGAAAAGACACAAGGTGATTGCGCATCTTTTTAAAAGATTACAAGTGCTTTCCCTTTCTGAATCATAATTTCTTGGTTTCACAAGGAAGATTTCTCAAAGAACTAATCAATTTAGTATTATAATTTTCTTTTACCTGATTATATTCCGGCAGATCCCCAGCTTCCAAAGCTAATCTTGCATGAGTTTCATACACCTAAGGAAAAAGAAGATAAAAGCGTTCAGTAGTTACGAATTTACCAAGCAAATCATGCTCCCTACTGGATTGAAGACCAATTCAATATGTCGGATGACTGGCAATGCAACATGAGATCACAAAAATGCAGTGAATAAACTAATAACTGGTTATCAGATGAAAACATAACACATATTGAATAAATCAAATACTACTCAGACTACAGAAATGTTACACAAAATATTTCCATTTGACAGAAAAAAACCTTCACAGTTAGTTCATTGTGTATCCGTTGCACAGTAAGATCCTGGCGTATAGATTTTAACTGATCACATTTGTAAAGGTAATTCTTTTGTGAACTTTGGACCATCAAAAGAGCTTTCTCCAGTACTTCTTCTGGTCTCACCTATATGCAAAAAACAAAGAAAAAAATAAACAGACATCAATACATGAAAAAAATTCCTTTCGATGGCTAACATCCAAACAGAAAGGTTCTGCATAGCTCAAAACACTCCAATAATCCCATTAGCTGAAAAAACATGTTATTTGCATCAATAGTGAATGGAATTGTTACAGTCAATGAATCACATCTGAAATAGACAGAAAATCTGAGAAATGAAGATTAGGTTGCAGCAATTACTGTTGCAGGGTCAGGTGCAGAAGTGAGCCGCAAGTAACGTTTCTCAATCTCCTGGCAAGTACCCTTGACAGTGAGAGAATCCCAATCAATGTCTTCAACAGCTCTGCTACAGCCATCTTCATGATTCTTGGCAAGAAGCAAAGCACTAGCCCTTCTAGCGACGTAGTTTACAGCTCCAGCCCCTCTTGATCTGAACTGCTTGCTTTCACTACGACGTTGATGCCCTGTTTCAAAACGCTTGTATCGAGATTCACGTTTTTTCTTTTCTTCTGGTGAATTTGCCAGAGTAATAGCCCCTGAATAGTAAGCTGTTAATCCCAACTCCTTGTCACTATCACTAGAATTATCTCCATTTTCAGCGGCATTTGAGCTATCACCAAACCTTGGCTTTTTAGCTGGCCTTTGGGCACTTTTATTTAGATGTTGCGTGAAGTACTTCGTGTTTGTCCAGGAAACCTCTTTACTCTCACGTTTTGCAGTAGAAGCCTACAGGGACATTGGATTAAGAGTTAGGACTAAGACTAAGAGGTTAAGACACAAGTCATACTTACAAACTAAGACCTAAACCATAGTTTGAAAACTATAACTGTACGAGAGAGCAAAGATCAATATAGCAAAATATTACCGAGTTGCCCCTCTCTTTGAGACATTGCAAACTACTGTCTTTCAATGGATCATGACTGGAGGGGGCCAGTTTCTCATCCACCTTTTCCTCTACCATGGGCTCCCACCTACTTTTGGTGCGTCTGCTTGGACTCTTTCTGTATTTCAGGAGTGAAGAAACCCCCATAGAGCTCTGTGTGCTCCTACATATAGAAAAGTAGAGATTTTAAGTTAGGACCTTGCTGATCGCAACAATATCAGTCTATCAGAGTACTTGGCAACCTGATCTGGAATACAGTTAAAAAAGAAAGATGACCAATACAAAAACACATAAATACTATGTAACAATTTCATTAAATACTAAAACTTTATAACAATAGTTCATCAACATGATTCTCTTTTACAGGTGAACAGTGAGATGTGAACCTTCAATACTGAGCCCTATCTAATGATCAAACAATCAATGGTTCTTTCAATGGACTGGAGTCTTTTCTCAAAAAACAAAGGTAATGGTGAACTGCATCATTCACTCTTAGCAGAATAGCATAATGAAAAGGAAAAAGGGAACATGTGACTTTTTATCAAGAGAAGCAGGAATAAGATAGCCATAAATGATACTGTCCGTTAAAAGAGGCTGCCAAACACACTAATGGGGGCGACTATTAAGGTTCGAGCACAACTGGAATTTTTGTGATTTAAACGAAAGGAAAAGCTGTGTTACATGTATTCTTCTGCTAGGCTATATGCACCCATACTAAAACAGATTCTTCTGGATTCTTTTTCTTGTTTACCAGCCATTGGTTACATCACTCTGAAGACTTGACACACTTTTGTTTTTGAGTAGACAAATATGAATTATGAAAATACCATTGGAGCTTTAAAAATATCCATTGATCCAGCCAACTAAAGTACAATTGATTTTTTCTTGCTACTGATCATGAAATGGGACATTAGTAAAACATTGTTAGATTTGGTTCTCTTTGTGATATAGCTGTATTGCTGAATCCTCTTTCCATGGCATGACGAATCTGACAGCCCATACGCATTATGACATTGACATATGTACCCGCGTCCATGCAACATGGAGGAAAACAATCCAGAAAATCAAAAAAACAAAGAAAAAATAAAAACTAGGACTAAGGAAAAAGTAAAGCATTCATTATTTAATAAGATATTAGTTAAAGCATTCATTATTCTTCATAAGATATTGTCACTGTTCAAAGGATACCTTTTCCCAAAATCCTAGACCAGTCCACTCATTTGAGTGGCTGCAATCGCACAGAGAAACCCATCTTTCAAGATTGAAGTCATTATTTAATTTGCATAGCAAGTCCAATCCTGTAATCTGTCATGGCCGGTCCCAAGCCAGTCATGCCAGCCCCAAGTCCAGATAAAGGTGAAGGGTTGTGTTAGGTAGGGCAGCAAGCGTAAAACTTTGCCGCAGATTTACATGAATCCTGAACCTATTGGTCCTTGATAGAACAAAATGGTGGATTTGTGTTGCCAACCTCAAATAGTTGGGATAAGATTCAGATGATGATGATGATAGCAAGTCCAGTCCTCTAACTCCATCCCATCAATGTACTTCTCTAAATCTCTTTGCTATATTATGAATCCAAGTAACAACAACGACTTACCCAACGTAAAAGCATGAGCAAGCCAAACAATGAGATGCTGGAAATTTTACTCCAATTTAGATTGTAAAAATGTAGACCTGGAGTTTTAAGAGGTGGAACTCTTGAGTTGGTGGCCCCACCCTACTCAACCCAAACCAGTATTCAGAAGGAGAGCTACTGATCGTGGGATATTGGAACTGAATTTCGATGGTTACTCAAATGGGAATATGGGCTATAAGGGATTCAAGAGGGACCTTGGTCTAAAACATTTCTGTTTCATTGTGGTTTTGCAATTCCATCATGGTGGCTAAAGCTCATCTTACTGGTATAATAAGCACAAGAGAAAACAATAGGTTCCAATAATTCATAGGAGACTGCCTAAGGCTTCATTTGCCAGCAGCTTTAATTCTTCCCACTTACACTATTGAAGGAGCACTTTATTGCAAATAGTACAATAGGAAAGAAAAACTCATGAGGTCTTTCCTTTCCAGAAAAACACGGGATTGGAGCCGCATTTTTAATACCCACTTCCTTGTAAAAGCTACTAGGAAAAGTTGTGCATTGACCACTAACACATTCTTAATGATCTAGTAAAATTAATACAATTGAGTATTTTGGTCTGAGCTACAGACAGATTTAGGGGTAGTTAAGGAAATATCAGAACTTGATTAATTTCTATGTTTTGTAGGATAGGAATTCAATCTGTATTTTAGAAACTTTTATGTATTTTGGATTTTTTATAGATATCCTATTTCTAAGTTTTTTGCGGATTTCTAAGCATCTTTTAGGTTCCTAATTGATATGGAGGAGTTTTCAGGGTCTCTAGAAGTCTCTAAATTCCTTACTAGAATTTAGTTTATACAAGGGTTTGTGTGAGGGACAGAAATGAGTGATAACAGCACAATCCTACAACCGAGATTTATATGGATCCAAATTCACTCATATTAATTCTTATAACGGGAAATTAGTCTCAAATAGTTATAAATAACAGGACACAACAGAGTTAGGAAGGGAAATAAATATTACTAGAGATTAATATCTGGATATAGCCTTTAATAGAGCAGAATGGAGAACCAGGATTCATGTAGCCGATCCCAATTAATTGCGAAAAGGCTAAAATGATGATGATGATGATGACTAGAGATCAATATCTTATTTGAACACTTTGTGGCAAGTTGGTATTTGCGATAATTTTATTGCACTAAGGATGAAGCATCAACTATTGAGGCTTTCAGTTTCAAACCAAAAGGTTCCAAGGTTCAAACAAGGTCCCAGCGACTTACAAGAATAGGTTACATTTATCCAAGTATAATCCAAACCCTACACATGCACATGCACACCCACACACATCCCCACAAGTCCTCTTGCATTTCAAACTGAATTGCTCAATGGTGGTAACTAATTCCCTCACGCTTCTAACCTGAACTTTAAACATTAGGAAAAACAATAGCTGACTGGACTCACCTTTTCCACACAAGTGGGAGACTCACCAGTTGTGCCATTCAAAAAGCCAACCTAGACCTTTCGAGTTTAGATCCCACATGCATTGGGTAAGGGTAGAGTTCCATCAAAACTAGCTTGAACTAGCCAGCGATCTAGTAATACATCTGAACTCTATACTCTTTATATGCTTTTTGTAAAATGAAGGATTCAAAGTTTCACACACATTTATGCCACACTTCTACTTTGTTGAAAGGGTGACTCTTAATACATATTGTCGGATATGATGATACATTCTTCCTCTTTCCAATTTTCTACAACATTATAGTGATTCAAAAAAATTAATCACGCCAAAGGGAGAATAAATAGGAGTATGATTTTGAAAGATCTCCATTACTCCTTTTTCCCTCCAACTTTACCAAAATCTCTCACTCTAAACTCTAAGACAAGAATTCCTCCCTTCCTCCCTCCCTCCCTACCCAACCAACAACCACAATAAAATAAGAATCTAGCAATATGTTAGGACAAAAGCTATAATACTAATCTCAACAAAATAATTGTCAATGTTAGAGAAAAAATTAAAACAACGATAAGATATAAGAAATAAATTTTTTTTTTTGATAATGACATAAGAAATAAAATTAAATACAGAAAATCAATCAAAAAAATAAAATATAGTAAGAGGCTGAAAAAAATTCAATTGAAAAGATATTGATTTCAAAATTACATAAATGGGCTAAAATAATCAGTTTTTATTAAATTTGGATACTGGATACCTTGAAAAATAACTTTTGCCTAAACTACACCATCATGCAACATTAGTACCATTAGCTAGTAGCTATCTAATGCTCAAAGTATTATCAAGTAACACTTTAATATTTTTTGTTGTTAATATAACCAGGTTATGCCTTTCAAATTTTAGCTTGAATGGTGAAACAAAGCCAAAAGGCCAACATAACAGATGCAAGACACAAAATGGATAAGAACGTACTCCTTAAGGGTTGGATCCACCACATTATTGGGTAACGAGAAAAGCGGTTCAGTATCCCAATTACGTGTGAAAAGTGTGCCGTCAGAACTTGCTTTGGTTATTATCTGAAAAGAAACAAAAAGCAATCCAATGGTGAGAGAGTAAAAACTATAATTCCTTATCAAATGGTCTTGTATATACACTTAGGACTGCAGATGCTGTAAACTTTCCTGCCAATCAAGAATCATCGCAACAAATTCATTAATTGAATACATCCCGATGCACGCTTTTTAAAAAAAATAAACAGGTACTTATTCAAAATAATATAAGACAAAAAAAAATGGTGGAATACAAATCAACACGTCAACTGAAACAAATAAACAAAAATGAAACAATAATAAAAAAGAAAAGGAATCAACATCACATATTTGCATTTGGAATATTTCAAATGATGGTAGAGAAAGCTCATTTTTTTCATAGAACTTTCACAAAGCTAAACCTATTTACAGTCAAGGATGAAAGAACTACTCTACTGAAACCAAGAACATCATACTTGCATATCTACAAAATCTTCCATTGACTCCTAATTTAAATATCTTTGTTTGCCAATCAATTTTTTAGCTTTGGCCTTAACTAACATGGGCTGTGGGCTCATGCGTGTCCATTGACTCAACGCATGTGCCAAAGTAAGCATTTCTTTGGATGATAGTTTGGATACAGGATTTCTTTTCAGGCAACACTTTGCATCAGATCAAGCGTCTAGATATTACAGCTTTGTCATGATTTTCAAGAGCATCACAGGCAAGTGTTTTACAGAGTAAACAGTTGTGAATTGAGAAGTAAGACAGATAGCAAGATAGAAAAACTGAATCGAAGTAGTGGCCTCCGTAGGCCGTGACCTTTATCTGTTTAATGAATAATTACAACTTGACACAGAGACCCTACAAGAATGGCGAATTATATAGGCAATGTATGATGAATAACAATATCAGGAATTCCTGGGTGGAATGTTGAGAAGATCCAACACTTGCCATAGCTTAGCTAAAATGTCATGTAATCCACCCGACTAAGGGCCTCTGAAATTTGGTATCTTGACTTCACATGTGGATAACACGCTTGTAATCTTGCCCCCACAAAAAAATCCAATCAGACTATCTGTTTGATCATCTCATGAAAGGAAAATTAAAAATAATGCCTGGAACCCATCACAGTGCAGGTCCATAAGAAGGCGGACACTAAATCTCAATCGTGTCATGAATATCTCAGACCAAATTCACTCACAAGGGTGTGATCCATTGCCCAATACTCCGACTGAGTACTTAGTTTGCCAAAAGAAGCTGCTTCTTGTTCCTCCATGTGACAAGGTTGCAACCAACAAAGGTGTGATGCCTAGTGCTCAAAGACATAAACCAACGTGAACCAGACCAGCCAGCTCCAAAGAGTTGATATAGCAAGTGACCATCATAAGATTCTATGGACTTCGTCTAAATAGTGTCCCAAGGAGCACAGAACTGGCACTCTTATAACGTCCAACAGATCAGGTCTAATGATAGTTAAGTAGGTTAAGTGTCCCACTAATTTGTGTTTCTTTTTCTTTTTTTCCTTCTTGTCCATACTTCCCTTTGTCTAGAAATGGTCATGATTCCCTCAATAGGAACTTCAAATGGTCAGTTCCATGTTTTCAATGTTCGAATGTCTGCTTGCATAAAGAGACAAAGATGCCTCTAAGAACATGCTACTTCAATGTCTAAGAAGTAATTTAACTACCCAACATACTTTACATCAATATATCTCCTACGCTCATTTTAGTTTTTAATCCTTCTAGCATTATTGCCCATGTCAATAACGTCAATTAAAAAATGGATAATTTAACAAAAAAGAGCCAGGAGGAAATTATAATACAATTAAATCTTATGAACCCTGTTCAAAGGGATTGTTTGAGCCCCTGGATAGCCTTCTTTGTCAACACACCTTGACTTTCTATTAATGTTACAGATCAGGAAGAAAATATGTTATATATTTCTTCCCAAATCATCATACAAGAAAGAATTCTTAGTTCACATTTATCACAACGGAAAGGAATAATACCTTTGATGGAATTCGTCTCTGCCACATATCACCTAACTCTATCTTTTAGCTCTAAGTCCACACTTTTTAGTCTCATTATTTCAATTATTCTCTGCTGGCACAGTTATCCCCTCTTGTTGCCTAAAATTTCTGCCAAACATATCTCTGTAGAGCCACAAGTGCTTAGGCCTCAAGATAATGACCTGGCCCAAGACTATAAGCTACAGTAGTTAGGGCCATGGTGGAATTAGGCATGTTGGCATATTTCTAGAGCATTGCTATGAAGGATATAGAGACGCTTACGGTGCTGAAAAATAAAGGGACAGCCCATGAGAACACTGGTAGCCAGGCTAAGAGGCTGGGAGTGGAGGATCATTACTTGGGTGGACTGGCCCAAGGCTACCTGACTAATGACCATTACCCAGTGGCACCTGAGCTTCATGCCCTAAGCTGGAGAGCCTAGGAAGGTAAGAGCAAGAAGCAGCTTATCACACAACCTTATCTAGGCAACTGGACAGTTACTAGTCTCAAGCCTTTGATTGATGGGATTCTCATAAGCATAAGCCTAGCGAAACAAAGCAATTAAGAGGAGTTCAATTTGTTTTTCAAGGTGTAGAGTAAATTGCAAGAACATTGCCCTGTTCCAGAACGAGTAAACTAGATATACAACGCCATGTCAAAAATTTATATAGAGTCCCAAAATTTTATTTAAGCCAACCAATTTTGAGATAGCACTAATTGAATAGCATAGTTCAACATAGGAGGCTCCACCCTAAGCCATAGATCTCGAAGATCTCCTAACAGTGAAAAGTAAGTATAGGTGCAAATGTGCCAAGGGGTATTTGGTATGAACAAGTTATCCCTTCATTGTTTGTCATCACAAATATTGCAACCCCGCTTGAAATACTGATATAAGAATCCATTCTCATGCCCATGTTCATCATGGCCTTGGCCACTGCAAATTCAATCTATGGCCAAGACATCAACTCAAGGGCCATGTGTGTCAAGCTTAAAAGGCACTTCCAACAGAAATACTACAAAAAAGTAAAGGAACAAGAAGAGATAATTACAGAAACAAAGCAAAAAATAACAGGGAAACAAATGAAATAGAAGGAGCCAAAAGTGGTGGACTTCAAACGAAAAGAGATAAATTGAGTAGATACAGAGTAAAGGCAGATTACACTAGGTAGAAGTTAACACAAGTTCAGAGATAAGCAAGACCTCATTTGAGATGGTTAAGCCTGCCTAACTACACGCAAGCATCTCCTTTCCTCCCACACAACCCCCACACGTATAGTGGAGAAAACAAACTACATTCTAATTAATTAATGTGAAGAAGAGGAACATGCTTACAACTGCAAGTTAGAGAACCTAGTTTATGGACATTATATTTTTTGGGTAGTTTATGGACATTATAACTTGAGCTTAAAATATGACAATAAACAAACAAACCTAAATTACATAATTTTTCATGGCCTTGCGTAGTTCTAGCTGGTGGACAGCAGGGATAAAAGGAGATTAACCTGCCACCTCAAAAAGCCCAAGTTTGGTCCATTAATTTCAGATGTGTGGAAACCCATCTAAGAAGATGAAGAGAAGAAAAATGAACACAACATCAGAGATGGAGACGGCGACAAAGGTGGCTGAGGCATCGGTAGTGCGGGAGACAATGCCAAATGATAGTGATGATAGTGATAAAAGTGGAAGTGCTGTGGAAGGCAAGGGGAATAGTGGTTACAATGAGCTGTTCGATGGCAAAAGGGGATCATTTAGCCTCAACAACCTTATGGTAAGTGGTGACAATAGGCAAATGGATCATTCAAATCCACTTACAATGAAAGCCATTTTAGACAACGGAACCAATGCCAAGGCTACAACCCTTTCAAACCTCCCTATAATAAATTCACATCATCTCAAGTGTTTAAAATGTCTGCTGTTTATTCCTTTAGACCTCAAGCTCAAATTGAATTGTGATATTTGAAAGCTTGAGTTTTGAATAGGTGCTGTAAAAATTTAATGCTTGGATTAGTTGTAGGAGCCTAGTGCTTGGGTGGACTTCCAGCTTCCCAATCAATGATCTCATAGCAAACTTGAGTGATTAGTTATGGAAATTTGTCTATCTCAACACTCCTACTCTTGCTCCTAATGAAGTTCTTAGGTAAGGTAAGAGCTTGGAAAATGCCGATTGCTGATTTTAAACTTTTAAGCTGGTGATAGATGTGTTAGCTTTTTAATTCTGCATATTTTTTCTTTAAACCCTGCAGATTTCTAGTGGATATGAGAAATGACATAAAACTTCATTAGAAGTACAAAAAATTAAATAAATCACCTAATTAATCCTCTTTTTTATTTGTAAAATTTTTTAACATTCCTTTTTTATCATTTAATGCTATTTGTATTTTTTATATTAGAATAAGACTCAGCAAACCAACTAAGGGCTTGGAGGTTTTACTGGGATCCAGACATAAGTATTAAGCCAAGTCCATAGCTCTAAACCCTAGTTTGAACACCACATACAAAGTTAAATGACAAACTAAGGGATGTTCTTGGAAATATATTACATGGCATGCTTGACTCTGAGTCAATCTATAACAAGTAAAGATAAAAGGACAAAACCGGAAAAGGATACTTTCTGCAATAGTTACTAACAATGTGAAACCTAGAAAACAAATAATCAAAATTCATTACATTTCAACACATATGCATCAAACACAGTTACTGTTATTTGGAAACTCCATTTATCTCCACAAATGCTTGTCCTATTAGAAAACAAAGCAGCGGATCTCATTATAAACATCACTGCAGTCCAAAAGCTGAGAAGCAATGAACTATATACCATCAAATGAAGTCGGTGCATACTAAAGGACAAGAAAAAATAAAAGGGGAACCTCCAGTGGATAGACTTGACCAGTTATTCTAAACTAAAAAATGATATGTAAGAGGTAAGTTACATACAAAACCAAACAAAAGAGTGCGAATAATGTCAAATAAGTATGGTCGCCATATAAAATAAACTACAAAGGAATGTTAAAACTCAGATTCTGAACAGACTCGGCAGGTTCTCAAATCGCATCGACTCACCAAGTTTTCTCCAATAGACCTCTGATATTCTAAAGCATATTCACTGTTTTTCATTAAGTTAGCATGGACTTGGGGCTTGACTGACTCCTCCAGAAGACATGGTGAGTCTTTAAAAGACTTGTCCTAGGTTTTCAGAAAATATTATTTTACGAAAGAACCTGCTCCTAATGAAGTGAGAGTCCCAGGTCTAATGGACAAGATTTTAATCACTCTTAAGTAATTTTATAACAAAGAAAAATAACACGAATTTCCAGGAATAAGCAAGAAAAGTAAAGTTACCACTTCACATATGTTTACCTCCTTCAGTACAGCTTGGCAAGCTACCCTTTGCGAATCATCCTTACAGCGTCCTATTGCCCTCTCAATAAAAGTGAGAAGAGATGGGGGAAAACTGTCAGGCTGAAATCAACAAAATTAAATCAGAGATGCTCAATTTAGGGATAAACAAGAGGTAAAAAGCGTGTTTCATTCCAAGAGCTACCCATAGAATGATTTCAAGAATAGAATGTTCTCAAGACCTTCCCATACACCCATTAGCTGTTTGTGAAAAACTACCAAACAAGGACATAAAGAAATAAAAATATTCATATACACCATTGTGCATTCACACAGGCACACACAAGGAAAATGCAAGAGATTAAAACATTCCAACCATAGTATTTTGATAATCCGAAAAAAGAATTGGTATATATGAATATAATTACTAACACACAAAAATATATGAATTATAATTAGGAACACACATTTGGATTTCATTTCAATAGAAGCAGATACCAACGAGACTGACTTTTCACAGATAACCCCAATCATGTAAATAGGTTGCAATATGAATACAGATGCACCCAAAATCACTATAGCTGGCTCAGAACAAACAACGTCCTTCAGGAGCAATCCAGTTCCTAAAATGTATTTGTACAATAATTTAGATGTGAGCAATTGTTTCCAACTATCAGGAAAAATAATAAATTAAAAAATGAACTTTGGACCTTAAACATGCCATCAGCACCATCATGAGGTACCACTTTGTTCTCAGACTTCGGCAGGGAGACACTAATATAAGCTGGTTTTGATGCTGAATCTGCCGAAGAGTGGTCCTTCTCTGTTCTTGGCAATCCTAGTGCCAAATTTGAAGGTATTCTTGGGTTGGTAGGAATCTGCATCTTGTTCGTCCTGCGTGTATCCAATGCTGAAACTGATTGCAAGGGTAAGTGGAAACTCTGAGAAACTTGGTGAGTAGTAGGAAATTGTGAATTTGGCCCTTGAGGACATACACTCGTAGGTAGATCTTTAGAACTATCATAATGAAGATCTGAATTAAAAGGTTTCTGAAAGTATGATGTCGGCTGAGTGTACTGATGAATGTGGAATCCAGGGGCGGTCCAATTACTCCCATTGGTTTCATGTGTTACAGCAGTTACCTAAAAAGTCAGATCAACAAAAAAACGTAAGCTGTTCCATCAGATATATTTTAAACATAACCTTTACCAATATTGAAAGGTAAACCATAAAATGCTAATCAACCGAGCTATTCAAGTATACGCAGTCAAATGAATAATAATCAATCCGAGATTCAATAGTTCAGGTCCCAATATTTCAAGCAATCTAGCTCTCTGGAATACTGAAATCTAAAGAACATACAGACGAATTTCTGACATTAGCAGAACCAAGAATATAGCATATTGTGAATCAACATAGTACAACCAGCACTTATCCATGTGGACAATAGAATAACCCCAAGCAGACATGCATGTACTCACATTCATGCGAGCGGAGGCACGAGAGCACACACACAAAGGAGTAAAGACAAGATATTCACTCTGCAGTCTTACAGAGTGTCCTCTCTCTCTCTCTCTC